ACTAAGTCTTTGTTTAGGTAGAAAAAGGCATTAAACGGATTGTTCGGGTTGAAATACGCATTTTTTTCTCGTTTTGTTTGTATGTAATGCCACCTCTTCAAACACACGTGTTTGCTAAGTCATCCTCATCCATAATAATGGTTAACTAACGTCTGTTACCAATGACTATCATTTATGCACATATAGAAGAGTTGATGTATGATTTTTGAATTTTTAAATCATTTGGGGAGAAAATAGCACTGAGAAAGAAAAAGATACCACACAAATTTTTGAGGTTGAAATACACCCTTTTCCCGTGTGTGAGAAGTGTGAGACGGCAACGTCATAAGCGGAGTTATTAACATTTAAAATATGCGTAAAAAATGATATTAAATTACAAATACATACTTTTATGGACTCTTATTCAAAATTAAAACACGTTGACACATAGTAATTATAAATAAACATGAAGAAAGTTAGTTTGAAGACTAAGCTGTAGAAAACTAATCTTGCATTTTTTCCTTTTCATAGAATCCTTAGACAACCAACTTTGCGTTGTTTCATTTCCATGAGATCATATTTAATTAATCGAATTTCTTATAATATAGCTCGTTTATGAAATTCAATATACCCTTTATGTGTTTATTTAAAATATAATTTTTGAAAGCTATTTGCTTACTCGAACAACTGGAAATAAGCCACCAGGATAATATATTTTTGTTTTTACCACCAGAATAATTTAAAGAGGGAGACAAGTTAGTAAGTAAAAATTATATATATATGGGGAAATGTTGTGAATTTTTTGCTCTAGTGTTGAAAAGAACCGAAGTATGTACCATGTATAATCTTTTCTAGCTTTGTTTTCATTTTTGTATTTTGTGATAATTTAGTGTTATACTATGTTGCTAAAGTTTAGTTATCAAGTTGATATTAAGAAACACAAACCTTAATTAAGTATTTCTCTCTTTATTAATCTTAGCTTAAGAAAACTCTCTCAAAAACTTAAGCTCTCAAACACAAACCAAATCTCTCAAAACAATCTCTTAGCTTTGTCATAACTCGACAAGCTCTATTTATACATAAAACCAAAACCAAATCCTAATAAGAAAACACCAATTAAATCTTCTAAATAAGTCCTAAACCAACTAGGACTTATCTTTAAACTAATATTTGAGCTTATCTCTTCAAGCTTAAACCAACATTCCCCCCTTTAAGCTTGAACTCTTCTTTCTTCAAATCTTGAACACCAATGAGATCTCTCATCTCCTTGAACTTAATCCTCCCAAGTGCTTTTGTTAGTATGTCCGCCTTTTGCTCAATTCCGGGAACATGCTCAAACTCTATTTGACCATTCTCAATATTATGACTACTATCGCTGTAACCTATGAGTTTTGGTAGACTCATTCTCTCAAAACATAAACCAAGTGATGTAGTTCCCTTTAGGTATCTCAGGACCTGTTTCATTGCAGCTCCATGGGACTCTCTTGGACTCTGCATATACCTGCTGAGTATGCCAACACAAAAACTCAAATATGGCCTTGTATGCAACAAGTAACGCAGACAGCCAACATTCTTCCTATAGCTTGTTGCATCTATCTCCTTTTCATCTTCAGCCTTTGACAGACTCAGTCCCATTTCCATTGGTGTATGCACCGGATTGCAATCTGCCATGTTAGCGTTTTCAAGTATCTTCTGAGCATACCTACTTTGGTTCAACGTTATTCCATACTGATTTTGAACTACCTCAATCTCTAGGTAGTATGTTAGCTTTCCCAAATCACTCATCTCAAACTTAGATGACATCTCCTTCTTGAATTCACTGATGCAGCTTAAGTCTGTTCATGTTACAAACAAGTCATCAACATAGACACCAATAATAAGTAATTGCTTCCCAATTTCTTTTCGATAAACTGATGGCTCTTTTGAGCTCTTTTGAGCACTTAATGAACTGCAGCTCAAGGAGAATTAGGTTCAACTTGTTGTTCCAGGCCCGTGGTGCTTGCCTTAATCCGTAAAGTGCTTTATTAAGCTTGTAGACTTTGGTTTTGTTTCCATCCTTCTCAAAACCCTCTGGTTGCAGAACATAAACCGTTTCCTTCAATTCGCCATGGAGAAATGCTGTTTTGACATCTAAATGGTGAATCTCCCATCCATAAGCAGCAGCAAGATCAATGAGGAGTCATATTGTTTCAATTCTTGCCACAGGAGCAAACACTTCCTCAAAATCCACATCATATTGTTGCACATACCCCTTTGCAACAATTCTTGCCTTATGCTTGTTAATGCTCCCATCTGAGTTCCTTTTGAGCTTAAAAACCCATTTAAGCCCGATTGGTTTTGCTCCTATTGGCAAATCGACAAGATCCCATGTCTTAAGCTTCTCGATTGAACTAATTTCTTCTTCACAAGCTTGTATCCATTCTTTTGATTCTCTAGCTTCTGCAAAATTTCTTGATTCATTATTTAAAGATAACAGCAACAACTCTCCTTCCTCCTCTGCAATCAAAACGTAATCTTCTAGATACTTTGGCATGTGTGTTTCTCTTGTCGATTTCCTTAGCACTGTTGTGCCGTGTGGTGTCAGTTCTCAGTGTTTGTATCTTCTCTTCGACTTCCTTCTCTACCATTATTTTGAAATTCCTGAACTTGACAAAGGCATCTCCTTTCTCCTTTAACAAAATCGTCCACATGTATCTTGAATAGTCGTCTATGAGAACAAAGATATAGCGATTTCTTGCACTTGTGCTTGGTGAAATTGGTCCACAAAGGTCACCATGTATCAATTCAAGCTTCTTTTTAGCTCTGTAGGCCGTTGCTTTAGGGAACACTTGACGAGTTTGTTTACCGAGTAAACAAGAACTGCAAAGTTCTTTCTCAAGAGTGTTGCTTGGAGCTCCATCAATCAGCATTTTGCTTATCATTGAATTCAAAGTTGCAAAATTCACATGTCCCATTCTTGCATGCCATTTGCTTGATTCACTTGTATCTGTTAAATTGCAGAAAGTTTCATTCTTCAGACCCATTCTTACTTTGTATAATCTGTTTGGTCCTCTCTCAGCTTTCACAAGGAGTTTTCCTTCACGATCTACCATTGTTAAATGGTCTTCTTTGAGTCTTATATCACAGCCAGCCTCTGTTGCTTGGCCGAGACTGATGATGTTACTTCTCAAGCCAGGTATGAAGTAAACATCAGTCATCTTCCTTATTTTCCCATTCAAATCGATGAAAACAATCGTCCCTTTTCCTCTTATATCGATTCTAGAATCGTCTCCAGACCTTACTTTCCCTGTGACTGTTGAATCAAGTGATGCAAAGTATCTCTTATCTCCAGTCATATGGTTACTAGCTCCATTATCCAAGTACCATATGTTTTCTGCACCACGATTTGTTGCAAATTTGCTTGGCACACAATGCTTTTCGTTTAAAAACACAATCTCATGCATCATGAGTTCATCAGCATCCTCTGTGTTCTTCTCAGTTTCTTGTGTTTCCTGCAAATTCAAAAGTCTGTCTGGACATGACTTGCAAAGTGACCCATCTTATCACATCTGTAACAGAGAATCTGTGAGAAATCCAAACTTCTTCCTCCAAATCGTCCTCGACCTCTTCCTCGGTTAAATCTGCCTCCTCTTCCTCTTCCTCTGTAATTTCCGTTATAGTTACCATTATATTCTTGTTGATTAGAGGTATTTGAAGAGTTTGTTGGCCCATCAGCGTTGGTGTACATGAGTTTTGGTTGTTCCTCTTGTTTTTCTTGTGAATCTTCTTCATCAAGAATTCTTTCTTCATAAGCCTTGAGACGCCCAACAATAGTAACACTGCTTTCTTAAACCTCTTCCATTACAAGTAGAATTAGGAATGTCGAGTTATGACTATAAATACCTCGATCGAGTTGTGATCATAGGCATGAGCTTTGTGCTTAGTTTTCAGAGAGTTTCTAAACATTAATAAAATGATCATACATACATACAAGTATGTTTCAAGCACAATCTTACACTTTTCAAAGCATATGATAAGATGACTTTGATTAACTTCTTAACTTCAAAATCTTTCGTCTCGTTCTACAGATTAGCCGAAAGTGGTGCTATTTAGCGTCACCACCACTGTTACCGCTTCTTTGACACCATAAGTTCAATCATTTTTAAATTTCAGACACCCAATAAAATAGCATTTCCTCTCATTACGTTCCATTCTTACTTGCGTAAGGTTAAAGACTCTCCTGTGTTGATATTATAAACCACATCACTACAGATTGTGTCCTACTCGAATCTTGATCGTGACATATCAATCCGATCCATTAACATGCTTGGTGATCGGCCACAACAGAAACAGTATACAAGTTCTTATCTGGATTTTTAGGATGAGGTGAAGACAAGAAGAATAACTTGTCACTAGTCCAGAAGGTGAAAAGAAGTCGTGGATGAGCCAAAGACATGGTCATGAACAGCTTTGTGAAATCTTGACGGCTAAGTATGGAAGGCGACCATTATTTGGATACGCAACAAAACCAAGCTATGTATATACTTTGATGGGACTCTCAAGAATATATCGATAAAGAGACCGATTGGGATTTCGTCTACGTTTTCTCTTCTTGAAGTAGAAGATTTTGTATTGGATTGAAAGATCGCTAGATGACCATCCAAACGAGACGTTCTGCTTCAGTTTTTTCATGACGTATTGGCTACGTTTTAAACCCTAGCTTTTTCGCTATAGACAGAATCAAGACGACTTTGGCTCTGTGCTCTTCCTTGATTTCAACTTATTTTTGATAAGTTTAACCAGAGATGATAAAGTTTCAGTGACATTCCATATATGATTTGATTCAAATCTACATCAATTTTTTTATTGTTGATAGAATTGTGATTCATATAATTTGTGAGTAGCCTTATCTTGAAAGCAATTATCTTATCAGAAAATATAAAAATAGTAGAAGCATAAAACAATATTCGAATTATGACCTAACTTAGAACCAAAGCTAACTCTTTTATAAAAAGATCCCTAAACATTTACATAAGATACACACATCTTCTACATAGTCTAAAAAGGTGTGAACTCTTTGATTGTGATCAAGTGCTTCAAGACCTTGGATTCTAACACGTATGAAAGCGTTCCTCTTGAAATTGTAGTAGTAAACATAGAAAGGATCTGATAGATAGAACTGTGGCAACACAATTTCACCACTACTTGTGGCTCCAACAAAGCATAATTCCGTCATCCGCGCTTGCATGCGCACACAACAAATCAGGCATCATGTTGACAATATGCATTAAAAATTTATGATTATTGGCATCCTCAAGAACCAAAAACCTAAAACACGTAGCGTTTTTTTATCAACTGCACCTAATTTACCCTTGTAGTTGATCAAGGTCCAAGAAGAACCTACTAACATGTTGTTATCTAAGTTAATAAATTTGAATTCCTCAGACCTAACATGAAAGCAAACTATAAGAGATCAATTCCCGAACCTCTTTTAACTTCAGCTCGATAATACAAAACACCATTGATGCATATCCCATCATATAAAGGATAATGCGCTTTGCAACATTCAATCATTCTCCAAGAAAGTTTTCCAATCCCTAGTGTCATAACTTGGTACTTTTCTACTATAACACCTAATCCCAAGCATAATACCTTGAAATGTTTGTCGATAGGATCAAACCCGAAATAGCTTCTTGCACCAATCCACTTCTCTCCCATTTCAGGTAAGGTTAAAGACTCTCCAGTGACAGGATTACAAATCACAACAATCTTACGATGATTATTGTCTTGATATTGACCACAAACAAAACCATTGATAGGGAGACTAATCTGAGAGGGACGATTTGTTGTGAATTTCTTATGATGATTAGAACCAACAAAAGACGAGATTACACTAGAAGAGTTCTCAATAGGATCTTGAGGTTGAGGTGATGAGAAGAATAACAATGCTTCGATAGATTCTTGGAGAACCAGAAGACTTGATAGAGAGCAATTCACTGATATGTGGACGGCGAAAAATGGATGACCAAAGCTTCGATATGCAACAAAGCTTAGCTATAGATTTCACCGGCAATCTCGAGAGTATATTGGATTGCCATCGAGCTCGTGTTAATTTCGAAAGGCCAGAGGGGAAGTTAGTATTTCAAGGTGTAAAGAGGAGTGAAGGGTTCTCTATTATCTCCATGATGCAAGCAGAAGAGTTGATAGAAAAAGGAAATGATGCTTTCCTCGCCACCATTTCTGTAGTGGGGGAGGACATGGACATAGGAGTCAGTGATGTTCCAATAGTGGCAGAATATGCTGATGTGTTTGAATCCTTGAAAGGACCGCCACCGAGTAGTCGCTGGAGTTTGTCAGTTGGTGTTGGTTTTTGGAGTTCACGTTTTATTATGTTATTTTTGCCGGATTTTTGGAATACTTTTTCATTTTATGGATCGGAAGACGTTTAATTTGAATTAATGGAGAATGTTGGTTATTTCCGGTTAAGTATGAATTACTTGAGTTATAAGTTAGCTCGTAACATGCCTTGTTGTTGAAGTAAAAACCGGGTGTTACAATTTTGGTATATTGCATCGTGAGATTGTTAGGCCATCCTCAGAGACTTGTAGATTGTTCATGTGGAATGTTAAACTCTATAGTCTTAAAGAGATGAACAAAAGATGAAAACCAAAGATATATACTTAAAAACGATGTTAAGATAAAAAATAAAAATTTAACTTAGCATTGTTTTTGAGAAAACGATGTTAAATATTGAATTCTTACGTCAGTTATCTATAATTGATGTTAATGGGCCGATTCTAGTAGTATCACTTGTTTATTTTGATGTTAACTTAAAAATAATTAGTAGGCCTGGGCATATGAGTATTCGGGTCGGGTTCGGATCGGGTCCTCTCGGGTTCGGATAACTTTTTTTTTTATAGATTTTAGCTCTGTTCGGATATTTTTAAATTTCGGTTCGGGTTCGGTTCGGATCCTTTCGGGTTGGGGTCGGTTCTCGACATAAAGTCGAATATCCGTAAATACCCGGAGACTCTGCCGGTTCCGATTCGGATAGGTACTTTGAACCTAAATTTACCTACAAATATCCAAAAGTATCCAAAATAATCGAAAAATTAGCTCCTAATTATTCAAGTAGTATTCGAATTGCCCAAAATACCCGAAATAAATATAGCTATATTGCACTAAAAATATATAAATTATCCCAAAAAATATCTAAAGCACCCAAAAAATACTCAAATTATTCAAAATTATTTTTAAAAAACTGAAATATCATTAAAAAAAATATAATTTTGAGTAGTTGGATTATTATTAAGTATAAATATTACTAATATTTTTGAGATATATACTTGTGTTTCGGGTCTATTCGGGTACCCGTATTTTTTCGGATCGGGTCCGAGTACTTAAAAAAAAAAAACTAAAACCTGTTCGGGTATTTGACCGGTTCCGGTTCGAGTTCGTTTCCTCATTTTTGAGTCGGGTTCGGATCGGTTTTTCGGGTCCGAGTATTTGTGTCCAGGGCTAATAATTAGTATCAATTTAAATAAAAATGACGCTATTTTTTTTATTGAGATTTTAGTTTACGCGGGAATATTGAGATTTTAGCAAAAAAAAAAAAAAACAAAAATTTCCAAAAACAAAACACATATAATCGTGAACCCTAGTTCTTTTCTTCTCCAATTTTCTAGTCAAACGATTTCAATTTTCTATGTTACGACTTCAATTTTTATTGGCAACGAAAGTTGGTTCCTGTTTTTCTAATCGAGTTTGAACTTTTCATGAGTTAGATTCTTGAATTCGATAAATCACTGTGTTGTGTAGAGAAGACTAGAGTTTGCTCTTGTCTTGAGTATATGAAATTGAGAAGAATATATAGTTTCATTACGATTATGTTTCTTTTGATCTGAAATTCCATTAAATTAATATTGATGATGAAATTCAAAATCCTGTTCATCGAATACTGAGTTTGTTTTGAATCATTGATTCGGTGATAAATTCATCTCTTTTGCCTTGTCTCTGATTTTGGTGACTCTTGATTGCTTGAGTTTCAAAAGTTTTCTATATGATCTTGGAGATATATGGTGTCATTGTCCTAATCGGATGAGAGCATTTATTTTTTGCCTTTACAGTTTCCTCCATATCTTGAACCTAGAATGGTACCAAATTATATAAATAATCAACTCTCTTTTTTTCAAGCCTTTGTATCGTTATTGGTTCATACAATCTGATTGGTTCTTCTTGGTTACGTGACATAGATTTCTACGGTTTCGATCGGTTTTGTTATGGATGCTGGAGATGTGAATTAAATTTCTCATGTATAATTTTCTTGTTTTTTCACAGATGCCGGAGTTGGGGAACCTTGTTGCTTTCTTTGATTTCAAAGACGGTAGGGATGGGTTGCTGCATTTCAGTGGAATGACAGCGTTGTCTGAGACGCTGTCAGTTATTACTCGACGCCGGTTTTGCGTTCAAGCTACTGATAACACTGGTAAACCAGCAAGTACCACTCCAGCTCGGGACAAAAACAAACCTACATTAGATAGATATTACAAGTCTGTCTACTTTATCCTCCACGACAAATTCTGGATTGGCCACGGCCTAGTCAATTCTGATTGGCCAAAGTTGGAAGAAGAATTTAATCATATTGGGAAACCATCTCCTAAGCCCAAAGGAATAATTGATACAGTTCCCTTCATTTCGTCTGGGACCAAGGTATCTATCTCTGCTTTGGTCTTTGTCATTTCTTAACTTGTTGATTTTGTAACATGAGCTTGTGTTTAACCAATGATGCAGCTGGCCCAACTTGCTGTACTCTTTGGCTTGGGTGAGCCATCAGTTGGGTACTATAACAATTGCGAAGAAAATTACGATGCTATCAAGCAATGCAGAGACGCGATGCCAATTTTAGATATGGAGAAGGAGAAGGATATGGGGAGTAATATCTATCCCATGATTTCTCATCTGAGGAAATTTCAGCAGCCACCAGAAAAAGCAACAACTAAATCAGCAAGGGGTAGTGAACCAAGAAAAAGTCAAAAACTGGAGGGTAAGGAAAAGGATTTTCTTGTCACGAATCAAATACAATGTCGTTTAGAATTCATAGCTCAGAGTAATTGTTTTCTTTTGGGTTCATCTGTTAGGAAAAGAGAATCCCCCTCGGAAATCTTTAGCTGAATCTCCATCTTCTCTAGAAGAGAGATTGTTGGTCGCGATGAAGGTAAAAAAGCTGCTTCTGGAATTTTGTTCTTTGTTTGCGTGTTTGTCTGATTTCCGGATTTGGAGTTGGAAGTGAATTAAATCTCTCATGTGTATTTTTTTTTACCGATGCTGGAGATGGAGGGCCGTGTTACTTTCTTCGATTTCAAAAAAGGTAGTAACGGGTTGCTGCATTTCGGTGGAATGGAAGTGACTTCCAAGACGCTGGTAGTTATTACTGAAACCAGGTTTTGCGTTCAAGCTACTCAGATAAATGGTAGACCTGCAAGAAACACTCCAGCTTGGTTAAAAAATGAACCTACATTATCTGAATCCTACGACTTTGTCTACTATATGCTCCACAACAAAACCTTGATTGGCCACGACCTGCGCAAATCCGATTTTCCAATGTTGGAAAAAGAATGTAAGCATATTGGGAAATCACCACCTAGGCCCAAAGAAATAATTGATACTGTTCCCTTCATTTCGTCCGGGTCCAAGGTAATCTATCTATCATCTCTGCTTTGGTCTTTGTCATTTGTTAACTTGTTTTATTTTGTAACATGAGAAAGTTGTGTTTAACACCAGCTGGGCAAACTTGCTGTACTCCTTGGTTTGGGTAAGCCAGCAGCACGGCTGGACTGTAGGAATTGCCAAGTCAATTATAATGCTATCAAGAAATGCAGAGACGCGATGCCAATTTTAGATGTAAGTTTATTATATAAGGCACAAAAAGGTACAGAAATCCGAAATTCACTCTTGTTTGTTTTGTTTTTTGGTTTGCAGGTGGAGATCGAGCAGGATAAGGAGAGTAATATGCATCCCATGATTTCTCTTATTAAGAAATATCAGCAGCCACCAGAAGAAGAAACAACTAAAAGGAAAAGTCCTCAAGGAAAAGTCAAAGATGGGGGAGTAAGGAAAAGTCTAAGACTTAAGGAGGCAAGTCAGAGACTGAAGAAGAAGTCGATGTAACTTTCTTGACTCAGTTAGCTTCAAATACATTATCAGGTTTCGGTTTTATGATGAATTTTGTCTCCAATGGTATGGAAATGGGCTCCAAAACTTTCCTTTTACATCTCTAAGTTAAGAGGTTGGAGGTTATAATTTTGAATTATTAAGTTGTCATGTCCCCTCCTCTTTCTAGAAATTATGAATCGGAAGAATGTTTCTGAATTGAAGAAAAATAGCCGGAGGTTTTGGTCCATTGAGTTACTGCTTCATTCATTTTTTCGGTCTACTTTTCGACTTCAAGGTAAGCAGCATGCAAAAGAAGGCAGAAAATGTCGTGGGTTTGGTTCAAGATTTAACCATTGAGTCATTTATTTTGTCGTATTTTGAATTAACCGACAAAACTCAACATAGCACTTGCTAAAAGGCAATCATTTGTATATCTCTTATACAAAAAAGGATGGTTATATTAACTTATTTGTTATGGTAAAAAGGATGGTTATATTGGTTTATGAACAAATTGATTTGTTATTGTATGGGTGTATATAATTATTCTCCTTCGCAAAAAGCGAGTTGAAACATGGAAAAGAAGCCAGTGGATTTAAATTGGCTGTACTAAACTGGTTTGTCTTCAGATATCCAAACCCGGGGTCATAAAGTTTTTGGAATCCTCTGTTTTTTTTTTTTTTAATGAAAGGTAGATTATATGCAAATAATGATTTAAAAAAATAATGAGTTTTGAAACTAAATGTTTTTAGAAACAAAGATTAAATAAAGGCACGTGCTCTGCAAATGGCTACCAAAAATAATTAAAATCTTACTATAAAAAACAAAATATGATAAAAACATAATTTACTAAAAGATTCAATCGATTGTTTAATACACTAAAAATAATCCTTGTTACGCATCAATTTGGTAAGAACTCTTTTTTTTTTTTTTTTTTCACATAAACTAAAACCCTAACCAATGGTAACAAATGAACTTTGGAAAATCATATAGAACAATGTTAATGAACACATGCCATCAATCAAGAAAGTAACCGCTGCATACTACTGCACAAAGGGGAATAACAAAACTTAGCAACATAGTAACACTAATATTATCACAAAATATAAAAACCAAAACAAAGCTCGAAAAGATTAATATACATGGCACATGATTCGGTTCTTTCAACACAAGAGCAAAAAGTTCAGAACATTTTTTCATATTTTCATACTTTCTACTTACTTCCAGTTGTCTGAACAAGCAAATAGCTTCAGAAAAATATATTTTTTAAATAAAAATATATTCAGTTTTCATAAACTACATTACAAGATATTCCATTAAATATGATCTCATGGAAATGAAACAAGGAAAAATTAAACTCTTTCTACATCTCAGTCTTCAAAGTTCAGACTAATTATGTGTCAACGTGTTTTAATTTTGTGTAATTTAATCTGTTTTTTATTCTTGCATATCTTTTTTTTTTTTATTCTCGCATATTTTCGTCGTGAGTTTCTCCATACTCGATTCTGTACTTTTCCTTTGAATTCCTAATTTCGTTGACGGTTTCGTTTATTCTTTGTATTGTGAAAATTTGTGATTTCAAAATTTCAAAATCGATCATCTCTCTCTATTTGAGTTAAATTACTCAAAATTTCTTCAACTGAAGTTCTTAGGGGTTTCAAAATCGCCTTTAGTTCATGTAACAAGAGAATCTTTAAGAAAAATTAATTCATGTAACAAGAGAAGCCTTAAAAAAAAAAAAAAACTAGTGTGTATAACCGATATTACAAGTGCTCTTGACATAGGAGTTACCTAGAATTAGAGTGACCATTACCATCGCACAAGGAGCAGAAGATGCATTATATTGTCATTTACTTCACCTTGCTATGGCTATTCACAACATCGCAAGCTCAACCCTGTAGAGTGACTACAAACTGGTTTGGATTTATCCGTCTCAAGAAAAAAACCAACGTAGTGGTTGATTCTGTTGATCTTACACTTCCAAGTTACTCTTACCAATCACAGGTTTCTCTTCAACCTCTTCCACGCACACACTTACACTTTTGTGTTTCTGCTGTGGTTTAAGTTTTGGTTTTATGGATAATAATAATAATAATAGGCTGTTTGGATTCAAGTCCCTGGGTCAGTGAAATCAGCAGCTACGAAGCACGGGGACGTCAATTTGGTGCCATCTACCGTATCTATAAATTTTTACTTTACCGTTTCCCGTACCCGTTTCCGTACCCGCTTCTTGTTCCCGTACCCGTTTCAGTGCTACTTAGATCAGCAGTGGAGAAGAAAAACTTGTCATTCAAATCTGGTTTACACGCCGCTTGTCACGCTCTTCTCCAAGTTGTTCCACTGTATGTATTCCTCTCTTGTCTTATCTTTTTCTCTACTCTACATGAGATTGCAGATTTTAATAAAATTTCGTTTTCATGTTTCTTCTTCTTCTTTGGTGCTTTTGGTAAGATTCGTGCGTTGCAACTACTCAGACTTAGCTCCAAAATGTCCAAACCCGCTAGAGCAACGCTATTATCCATCGAGGATCTTACTATATGGAACCGGCATCTCCGTTCAGGTATAAATGAAACAAACACAGCATTTTGTAATATTGTGAAAGCAATTCTCAAGATTCATCAAATTTTTGAAAAATTTGGATAATTGTTGAAAATATTTTGGTTTGCAGATTATTAGTAAACTAAATAAATGGAAATGTATATTTCACACTCTATTAGTATAATTTTGACATTCTTCTTGTGAGATATAGACTTTTGACAATTATCATTATTTCCGATTCCATAACAATGCCTAAAATCTTCATCATCTCCAAGTCCTTCAAGCTGAACCTTTCTTATTTCCTCTTTTTCTACATCATAGTAGAGAATGTAAAAAGCTCAAAGGCCACGTGGCAAAAACTTTGGGGCAATAATAATTTCCCCCATCTTGTTGGTGCCATGAAAAGATATTGGAACGTTTTTTGTAGAATTCCAGCAACGGACATGTATTCCTCGACCATTGATGTTCCTTGGCATATCGTAATATACATAAATCAAAGACAAGATATGTATCATGCCAATGAAAAATATTAACATTGGATAATTTTCCTTGGTAGTTTATCAAAGTTGAACTAGTACCCCAATATATGTCCAATAAAGGTAGATTGATAAAACTTAGCCTCTCTGATCTAACATCAACAAGCACTATTATTTTATTCTTATTTGTCATAACATCGAAGCCAAATTTGCTACCAAAGATGAAGATTCATCTTCTTCTTTTGAAGAGGTAAAGAAGAAAAAACAGTTTTCAGCAATCCTATCAGTCAATATCGACCAATTGTAATAGAGATAAGAAGTCGTGATGATTGAGTCTAGAACATAGAGACCAACGAATTTATTAAATCTTTGCTTCGGAAAATGGCACACCATGTCTTCAAAACATATTGGAACTTTAGAAGATTTTACGGGCAATCTATTGAGAATCTCCACCGTTAAATGAAGAGGGATCTCGTCCTTGTTATGTTCTTGATCCTTGCTTTTCACGGTAGTTTTCTAGTCTCCTTAATTTTATCTACGGTGCTGATCATGTTAATAGCTTTTATTTTGTATTTCAATCGTCTCTTATGTTTGTTTTAGAGATGCTTTTATGTTAAATTTGAATTTAAAATAAGACATTTATTTACTCTGTTTTTCCTATTCTTTTTCAGAAATCAAAATAGGAGCATTTAAAGTGATTTTAAATAAATCACAAGAGTTTAATATAAGAGCATTTTGGATAATTGTTGGAAATATTTTGGTTTGCAGATCCGTCCTTTTTTCACAGAGCTTCTAAAAGCATCTCTTGTTGCTGCTCTACTGTAACTGGTTGCCCCAATTGGTTCACGTACATGGCCCTAAACCCCATCAATCTCTTATGAGATCATTTTCTGAAATTTTCTTGTTTTTTTTTTTGCTATTAACTAAATAAATGTTTTTGAGAAAACACAATTTTGCTTGCCAAGAGTACAATAAGCTCATACACAAGGAAATTTTAGATTTTTATGTAACATTTCAATATATATATTAAATAACTTTTGTGAATTTCAGAAAGATTGAGTTGGTCTAGTGGTCACCCCCCACGCTTTTCTTTTGGTCCTTTAAAATCTTGGTTTCTTCTTCTTCGATTTCTCAGTTGCCCTCGTTTCCTCCGTCGACCTCCGCCGAAGGTAACCTAGCTAAAATTAGACTTCTTGTTATTCGATTTCTGTTTGTTTAGTCGCTATGTTTGTTCGATTTTGTTCAAATCTTAGTTGCTTTGAATCTCTATTTAAGATTTGTTGTGCTCCTTCAAGGTCGTGTTTGGTTTTTTCGAGTTCCAAATATCTAGGGTGAAGTTAGCCTTTTTTTGGGATCTCATTGTATTGGTTTAGGTCTGTAAGTCTCAATTCAACCTTCAAAAAAATTAGAAAATTAGATATTTTATTATATAAATTTTGGTTTCACAAAAATGATATTTAATAAAAAAAAGTTATACAATAAATTATTAATCCTAAAAGTAAAAGGATTATAATAACTTTTTTTAAAACAGACAACAAAAAAAGAAATCATATAGTAAATTGATGTTTTAAAAAATAGCAAATTTCTAAGAGTCAATTAGCTGTATGCTAATTATTTGAGAAATAATTAGCTTGTACATACACAACTTTTATTCTTTGCAAAACAAGAGAGAGAAATCTTTAGTTTTGAAAAAATCGGACGAATTTACCCCTGGAATAAGACACATGTGTATTTCCCGATATATCACTATATATCATGATATATAATCAAAAAGAGAATGGTTAGAAAAACCAGAAACTGATGTTGGATCATAAAAAACCAATCAATCTCTATGACGACTCTGCAAAGAATCCTCCAAATCAAGATCAACACCAACACGATTCAAGACATTATCTTCCACTTATTCTCAAGTTCCTTAAACCTCTTAACATCAAACTTATGACTCTTAAACAACTTCCTCTGCCTAGAAAGAAACAACCTTTTCATGAAATCTTGATATGTTGGGTCTCTTGAAGTCATCAAGAAATAAGCATAACCCACAATAATC